CACATGAAAAGCACACCCGCTCAAGTGCACATTCGCACAGCACTGCACACATGCTGGCACATGATCAGCACACCCGCTCAAGTGTATCACATGATAAGCACACCCGCTCAAGTGTATTCGCATAGCTCTGCGCACATCCTGGCACATGATAAGCACACACGATCAAGTGTGTTCGTCTAGCACTGCACACATGCTGGCACATGATAAGCACACCCGCTCAAGTGCATTCGCATAGCACTGCACACATGCTGGCACATGATCAGCACACCCGCTCAAGTGTATCACATGATAAGCACACCCGCTCAAGTGTATTCGCATAGCACTGCGCGCATCCTGGCACATGATAAGCGCACACGAACACGTGTATTCGCCTAGCACTGCACACATGCTGGCACATGATAAGCACACCCGCTCAAGTGCATTCGCATAGCACTGCACACATGCTGGCACATGATAAGGACACACGATCAAGTGTGTTCGCCTAGCACTACACACATGCTGGCACATGATAAGCACACCCGCTCAAGTGCATTCGCATAGCAGAGCACACATGCTGGCACATGTGATAAGCACACCCGCTCAAGTGCATTCGCATGGCACTGCGCACATGCTGGCACATGATAAGCACACCCGCTGTAGTGTACTCGCCTAGCACTGCACGCATGCTGGCACATAATAGGCACACCCGCTCACGTGCATTCGCATAGCACTGCGCACATGCTGGCATATGGTAAGCACACCCGCTCAAGTGTGTTCGCGTAGCACTGCACACATGCTGGCACATGAAAAGCACACCCGCTCAATGCATTCGCATTGCAGAGCACACATGCTGGCACATGATACGCACAGCCGCTCAAGTGCATTCGCATAGCAGAGCACACATGCTGGCACGCGATAAACACACCCGCTCAAGTGCATTCGCATGGCACTGCGCACATGCTGGCGCATGACAAGCACACCCGCTGAAGTGCACTCGCCTAGCACTGCATACATGCTGGCGCATGATAAGCACACCCGCTCAAGTGCATTCGCGAAGTATTCGCGTAGCACTGCGCACATGCTGGCACAGGATAAGCACACCCGCTCAAGTGCAGTCGCATAGCAAGCACACCCGCTCAAGTGCATTCGCACAGCACAGCACACATGCTGGCACATGATAAGCACACCCGCTCAAGTGTATCACATGATAAGCACACCCGCTCAAGTGCATTCGCATAGCGCTGCACACATGCTGCCACATGATAAGCACACACGCTCGAGTGCATTCGCATAGCAGAGCACACATGCTGGCACATGATAAGCACACCCGCTCAAATGTATTCGCGCAGCACTGCACACATGCTGGCACATGATAAGCACACCCGCTCAAGTGCAGTCGCATAGCAAGCACACCCGCTCAAGTCCATTCGCACAGCACAGCACACATGCTGGCACATGATAAGCACACCCGCTCAAGTGCATTCGCATAGCACTGCACACATGCTGGCACATGATAAGCATACCCGCTCAAGTGTATGCGCGCAGTGCTGCGCAGATGCTGGCACATGATAAGCACACCCGCTGAAGTGCATTCGCGTAGCACTGCGCACATGCTGGCACTGATAAGCACACCCGCTCAAATGTGTTCGCGTAGCAGTGCACACATGCTGGCACGTGATAAGCACACCCGTTCACGTGTATGCGCGTAGCATTGCGCACATGCTGGCACATGATAAGCACACGCGCTCAAGCGCATGCGCGTAGCAGAGCACACATGCTGGCACATGATAAGCACACCCGCTCAAGTGTGTTCGCGTAGCAGTGCACACATGCTGGCACATGATAAGCACACCCGTTCACGTGTATTCGCGTAGCACTGCACACATGCCGGCACATAATAAGCACACCCGCTCAAGTGTATCACTCGATAAGCACACCCGCTCAAGTGTTTTCGCATAGCCGTCGTTGTTTGGCACAGTCCTCGCCGTCCGACACGCAGCCTCCGCGGCCGACACGGACCATCGGGTTCTGACTCGCAGACCTTACTTCGCTAAGTTGGCTCCGCATCTACGTCTCGTTGACATGCTCGCTGTTCGGCACCGCCGACTCCGCGGCCGACGCGGGCCGTCGTTGTCTGACACAGTCCTCGCCGACCGACACGTGGCCTCCGCCTCCGACTCGGACCGTCGGGCTCTCACTCGGAGACCTTCCTTCGCTACGTTTGCTCGGCGCACACGTTGCTCTTGCGCGCTCGCCGTACGACTCCGCCAAGTAGCGCCATCCGACTCGGACAAACGCGCCGGCTGACACGGACATCCGGTGCCGCGCGCGATTTTTTGCCGGCCAGCAAAGATAATAGCTGGCTTTTTGACGTCCTGGAGGCGTGACGCTGCATCCCTGAGGAAAACCAGTGATTTCAGCACACTGCGCGCTCATTACAGGGGGATTCCAGGCTTTCGGCGCGCGCGCTAACAGCATGATGGTGCGCTGTTGTTGTTGCAAAAGCAGTCTCCATGTCGATACGTGCTTTTGCAGCGTCTGAGGCAGCGGTCATATAGAAACGTGTAAAGAGTATATAGGTGTCTGTGCCTATGCATATGTATATGTGTTTGCACAAGCATATTCATATTATATATACACATGATGATACACATATATATACACATACAAAGCGGAATCCTTGGTGTACCTGCACCTACACATTTCACCCACTAATTCGTTTACTCATTGGCTTGATGCAGCAACAGCGATCCGGACCAGTCCGCTATTGCCGTTTCGGCTTGGAGAGGGTGCGCAGTGTTCAACATGACGAGGAAACATTCGCAGCAGAGAGCAAGCAACTGGCAGCGCCGCCAACCGGCAAAAGCTCCGCTGGAGCAGCCTCGGCCAAAGCCGGCGCAACCAAAGCCGGCGCACGCAAAGCAAGCGCACGCAAAAGCACCGCTAGAGAGACCTCGAAAGCCAGCCACGGCGCCACCGGCGAAGCCGGAGCACCCAAAGCCGGCACCTGCGCAGCCGAATTCAACACAGCCGGCGCACCCAACGCAGCCCGCGCAGCCACTGCAGCCCGCACACACAGCGCAACCAATCCAGCCGATGCAACGGGCGGACCCAATGCAACCAATGCAGCCCGCGGAGATATGGCCGACGCAAGGTCAGCACAGTGCAGCTGCTGCAGCCGACACAGGCCATGCAGCCGATGCAGGGCAGACGACGCAGCCGATGCAGCGGATGCAGACGATGCAGCCGATGCAGACGACACAAATGATGCAGACAATTCAACCAACGCAGCCAACGCAGCCTGCAGAGTCTATGCGGCCAACAATGCAGCCTACCCAGGCCAGCCCACCCCGGGACCCGATGCAGACGATGCAGCCGATGCAGACGATGCAGCCGATACAGGCGATGCAGACGATGCGGCCGATACAGTGGATGCAGCATATGCAGACGATGCAGCCGATGCAGACGATGCAGCCGATACAGGCGATGCAGCATATGCAGACGATGCAGCCGATGCAGACGATGCAGCCGATACAGGTGATGCAGCCGATGCAGACTGCGCAGACGACACAGCTGATGCATCCAGTCCAACCAATGCAGCCAATGCAGCATGCAGAGTCTACGCGGCCAACAATGCAGCCAGCCCAGGCCAGCCCACCCCGGCACCCTTCACCTGAGTTCTGCGAGAAGGTAGCGCAAGCCTTGCGACGACATTGCGGGCATCCTGGCTGCACGTGGTCCGAATAATATTGTGGCAGGCCCCGTTGTGCAGTTTTCACACATAACGTGCGGAATAGCCCAAAGCACTAGTTCCAGCGACAAGAACAAACCGGCAAAAACAGCAAAAGCGTCATCTAGAACACCAACTCGTGTGTAGACAAGTTTTGCCCTGGCAGCAACAATGCAATAACTGAAGCAAAGACTTTGCGGAAACTACAGCATCTAAGGATCGAATCTGCTGCCGCCCCACCGTGGAAGAGGCAAAAGTGAGCCTGCGAACACCCAGCCGAGGAGTATGAGGCCAAAAAAGACGATGCAGCTGCTGCGCTGTGCTTGTAGTTTGCAAGGAAATTTAAACGCTCCAAGTATTTGGCCCTCTGAGTCATCGATCTCAAGGTTGTCTTAAAGGCGTTACTCATTGTATTCGCGTAGCGCTGCGCACACGTGTTGGCACATGATAAGCACACCCGCTCAAGAGTTTCTCATGATAAGCTCGCCGTCCGATACGCAGCCGACTCGGGCCGTCGTTGTCTGACACAGCGCTTTCCGTCCGACACGTGGCCTCCGCGGCCGACTCGGGCCGTCGGGTTCTAACTCGGAGACCTTACTTTGCTAAGTTCGCTCCGCGTCCGCGGATCTTCTGGCGTGCTCGCCGTCCGATACGCAGCCGACTCGGGCCGTCGTCGTCTGACACAGCGCTTTCCGTCCGACACGTGGCCTCCGCGGCCGACTCGGGCCGTCGGGTTCTGACTCGGAGACCTTACTTTGCTAAGTTCGCTCCGCGTCCGCGCTTCTTCTGGCGTGCTCGCCGTCCGATACGCAGCCGACTCGGGCCGTCGTTGTCAGACACAGCGCTTTCCGTCCGACACGTGGCTTCCGCGGCCGACTCGGGCCGTCGGGTTCTGACTCGGAGACCTTACTTTGCTAAGTTCGCTCCGCGTCCGCGCTTCTTCTGGCGTGCTCGCCGTCCGATACGCAGCCGACTCGCGCCGTCGTTGTCTGACACAGCGCTTTCCGTCCGACACGTGGCTTCCGCGGCCGACTCGGGCACACGTTTCCGCGCCGTCCGACTCGAACACACGCGCCGGCTGACACGGACATCCGGCGCCGTCCGACTCGACCATGCCGCCGTCCGACTCGCCGCGTCCGACACGGTCACCAGCCGGCAAACCAAACGACAATATAGGCACGGAGCCAGAAACTATGTTTGCTAAGCTGAGATTAATATGGAGCTGCTCTGGTACTATTACATTACATATCTGTTCGGTGCGCTGAATCCATCAACCTTCCAAGCACCCGACGTCTGCCCTCAACCTGGGCTAACAGGTCTCAGCAGCCGCAAGCTTTCCACTGGGAAACTTCGAACTCAAATCCTGGAAAGTCAGACTGGTTCGAACAGTCAGGCTGCTTCGGGCAGCCGCCTACAGCAGGGGTTCTTCAATTCTCAAGCACAACAGAGTGCATGATATATCACATGTCTGAAAGAAATGGTGGACTCGGAAAAAGGAAGATGCCTCATGCTTCTGAGATACATGACATCACCACTCATTCCCACACATATGTGTGTTTGTTCTTGTTGGTGGTACTCCATGTTTAGTGGTTTTAAAAGGGAAACCACAAGAAACACCACCACTTCTTGTTGAGGGGTCCCCTTTAAACAAACTATATTTACACACATGCGCCGCTTTTGGTCCAAGTACATACATGTAGTAAGCGATAAAAAAAAAACATATTATACATAGTACATGAAAATATGCTATCATAATATGAATATATATATATATATATGCACATATGTATGCACATATCGTTGAGCTCATGAAGCCAGGTAAGAAGTCGAGCGGTTTCAAGCTACGGAGGGGCGGATGAAGGGTGAACAAGTAGAATCATACCCCAAGTCACCCAGCCTTGGCTCTGGCCCCAGCAAGCGCCTCGCGGGCAGTGCGTGGGGTAGGGGGTGGGTGCCAGGCAGATCTTGCAAAACATGAAATGCAGTATACAGGTGTCCCCCTTTGGTTTCCCTCAACAAGAAACATAGCACCCATGGCCAAACAAAGGACGATTGCCTTCTTATGGCATCGGAACCGCTGCCGAACAAAAACTGGGCTTCTCATCAGTCTGGTCATATTTCAGACTTGGCCTGTGATTGGACGCGACTAGTCCTGCAGAATTCCATCAAACGAAGGCCGGATGGCAAGTCTGCCCTTGCTCACATTCCGCGGGGGGCTTGGTCGACCTGCAGTCAGTCCAGCCTCAAAAGGCCCGGGCACAGGGGCTCACGCGGAGCTCGGGTTGTGTCCTGTGGAGATGGCGCCGGTGAATGACAGGAGAGCAAAAGGAAATCAAAATCTTTGGCACAGGTGCCAAAGGATGCTGACACATCCAATGTTGCCGGACCGTTCAAGCCCCGCCAGTCCTCAAGCAAACCCGGGGTTGATGAATCCCAGGTGTCCATTGGATTGTTTTGGGCTGTGAGGCTGTGAGGCGTGGCACTGTCACTGCGCAGGTTCCCCCCTGCCGGCGGCGAAACGCTCCCTGCCTGGCCACTCTTGCGAGGGTCGGGGCTTTTGCAGCGCAGGCGATGGGTCACCTGTGCCACATGCCCGTCACAAAAAATGTCATGAAACCACGACGACCTGAATTGGGGAAAGTGGGCGACATCTCGGAATTGAGAACCCTCTGATCATGTTAGACTCCAGACATCAGCCATGCTGCGTATGTCTCAGGCCTCTCAATGGATGGCGATGGCCAAACTAAGTTTCTGCAAATCCTACTCGAAATCCAATTTTTTGGGGGATCACCAAGAATTTAAAGAACCTTTATCATGGTGGCTCGTTTCCCCCCGAATCGGTGAGCTCGCTAAATATAGGCAAAGTCCCTGCCTCGGACGCAGGCCGACTGCCTCAGGCAGCATCAGCAAAACACCAAAGTGTGTTTTGTGGGTGCCCACTTGGGTGTGGCTCAAAATTAAAAAGTTGGGGGGTTCGCAGGTTTTAAGTCTTTGTTTCCATTTCCCAAGGAGCCATTTTGGGTACATCTTTTTGAGCCACTGCCATTTGGCTGTGGCTCGAACAAATGTACCAAAATGGCGCCTGGGTAAAAGACTAAAACCTGCGGTTTGCCCTAGCCCTTCTATTTGGAGACACCCATTTCTGCGTGTTTTGAATGGCCCATTGGGGTCGATTTCCCATTCAGTAGTTGGCAGAGGCAGATCAGAGCCAAGTCGAGAAGCCAAAGGTGCCGTGGCCGAGATGGTGTTTGTCTATGGCCTTGACGTTAGAACTCACATGTGCGCGCAAAGGACGATAGCTCTAAGTGGAACCCTCGGGTTTCTTGGAATGAGCCCCAAGAACTTCATGGTATGGTGGCAAGATGGCAGGCGAGGAGCATGGCATGGTGTACTCAAGCAGCTTCCACTCAGAGGATCCGCAAGCCTGGCACTTTTCAGGGGGATGACCATTGGAAGAACAGGAGCCCACCAAGCAAAAGGAAAAGGGAGCTGCTGAAAAACTAAAACTTGCTGCGCCCAATCAGTCACTCTGGCATATTCTGCTCGATCCACTTGACCGACTGCAACCTGAAACGTTGCGCCAAAATGGCTGCTAATACTGGATGGGCAAAATCCTGCAACAGTTCGGATGCATGAAACCTTATGAAACATGAGATTTACCACTTACCAACTGGTGCAGAATCTTGTCCATCCACAGCACGGATAGCACACCTGCCCTCCTGCACAGCCTTAACCTGTTGAGGGGCAAACGCATCACTGGGCTTGCTGGGGCGCGCACGAGTGTCAAGCTCAGTAGCGCGACCAGAGGGCCTGTGCTAATCATGAATGCCACATCGAACAATGCATGTCCCGGTTCTTGAATTCTTCTTCGTGGGGCAGTTAGCAAATACAGGCTGAACAAATCAACAGGCAGCCTTGCAAGTGTGTGACCCCCTCTACCCATACAGTTGCCCAGGTTCCTTATCTGTGGGTTGGCTTTGCAACGTTCGCGAAATGTCCACAAGCCCTCCACCACACCCAGCACTTTGAGCACGGCCCAGCGTGCCTACACATCAATGAGCGCAAAGGTCTTTTTAGAGTTCCCGGGAGCACGCAGCATGCTCCGTCGGTCATTTGGCTGTATCCTTTTTTAGATCAACCCTCTTGAATTTGAGATCATGTTCTCTAACAGGACACTCATATTCATAGGAGTAACTGAGGTCGGTGTTCAAGGGACGCCAAAAGGAAACCCACCATTTTGGGGAGGTCCCATAAGAAAGACACGCCCGTTTGGGGTGGCTGTGATGGAAGAAGGCAAGACACAATTAAAAGGTGCCCAGGGCCGTCTTGCATAGGTGAGAAAAACCTGTCGTGTGTTGGGGCTGGTCAGAGTATCGACCAAGACTATCAGTCAAGTAGCCTCGCATCAACAGGCACGAATATGAGCGAGATATGCAAGTCATGGCATTGCCGCTTCAGTTTGATGCTTGGGCAACACCTCGATGCAATATTGCCTGGGTGACATACTTGAAAACCCTGCTTTGGTATGATGGGCTTTGTTCGTCATAACTGATCGTTGTTTGAATGCCTTCTCCAGGCAATATGGGAGGAATGTTCCTCTACAACACAGTGGTGATGAAACTGGTTTGGAAAACATGTCATCGTTGTACTGTACTGATTGTGAAGAGTCAGCCGAGCTTGGGATCGCGCTAAATCAGCCATCACAATTAATGAACATAAGCAAGTGAAGAGAGAGGGGGTCCTTGTTTTCGTCATCGTGCCGAGAGCTTGGCACGGCTGTTGCATGTGAAAGCCGAAGACATGAATTGTTTTCTTCGTGGGGCACAACTTTCCACGGAAACCTTCGAGACGTGCTGACACCTCGGGCATCTGTTGCTCGAATAGGGCAAAGCAGCAGTGCTCTGCATCAGCACGATTTTGCAGCAGGTGGCATTGGGGATGTTACGGGAGATGTTTCTACAAGGTGTAGAGGACACGGCGGCCCAACAACTCACTCAAGAAAGGCCTGCAGGCACAGATAGAAATTATTCAAGCAAAAGGTACCACGTGTCACAGAAGAGGGCCAAAATCAATTTTGAGAACTCCAACTCTTCCAATTGAGGGACCCAGTTTGAGTTGGTTCCCTTTTGGGCTCACGTGGACCCATCTTCGGCGTACCTGGTAGGACGAGGTGCAGAGACATCGGCCAGTCCGGCCTCGCTCGCTGGCGATTGGTTGACCTCTTGAATGACCGAGTTTTCGCCCTTGGGAACTTGACGAAAACAGAAGAGGAATTGATCTTAAACCAGAACCCCCTAAGATCCCAAGACTCATATTGTTTTTAGCGCGTGCCCTTGTAGTCGATACAACCCACTTTGAGAGTTGTAAGAAGGCCAGTGCGTGCCAAACCGAAACACAAGGAAGAACCGGCTCCTGCTTGACAGGCCAAGGGACTATAAGCGGAGATGCAAGTTGCGGGTTGGGCCACCCTCTTTCTTCGCAGGCGATTCCATGGAAGCTCCTAGAACCCTTCAAAAGGATCTTCCTCTATAAAGGGGTACCTGGTGACTTCCGCTTAAGCCTGAGGGAGGGTATTGTTGAAACAACCTCCTTTTGGTTCCACTTAGGAAACAAGGGTCTGGAAGTTTCAAGAGATGCACGCCCCCGCCAAGTAGAAAACATATCCAAGCCTCATTGCGAGTCTGCCCCCAAAATCATGCAGCTTTAATCACTGTGGGTCCAGCCGTGAAAGGGACCAGTTCCTTTGGTCTCAAGAGATTCTCATTCTTGCCAGAAAGGCTCTGAATTGGTCGCCATAATCATGCAGGTTTTGAAGACCCAACCACTCACGCAAGGACTCGAATGAAGCGAAACCTCTTGTTGGCGCATCCACCCGCTGCGCCGCCGCCTTCGAGCCGTTGGAATGCGCGGCTGGTGCTGGCCTATAGGCAAAGCGGGCGCGGCCAAGCGCATGGCAAGGCGTATCGCCAGACCGATGGATGCTTGGTCTGAGCTAACCTTCGCACCCCTTGATATGGTTGCAAAAAACTGTTTTTTTTTGCAGACGCCTACCAAAATGGGCACAACCAGGCAAACAAAAAGACTTGCCAAGAAGAGTGGAGCGCTTTCTCTTTGCCCCAACCGACTTTTTGAGGCAAAACTCCCAGCGCCAGCCTCACGGGCGTCACTGGCGCCTGAGTATCAGCCAAATCTGTGTTTGTCACTGATGTTGACCCCGGATTAATCGACCTGGTGGATGAATCGGGGGGTGTCTACCGTTGACCTTGGATTAATCAATTTGGTGGAAGAAAGGGACCCGAAAGTGACACCCCCGATCGAAATCAACCAGCGGTGTATTCAGCCTTTGTAAAAAGCCATCACAACGGCACTGCATGGCCTCTTGAAACTGTGCCAAGGTAACATATCGCCAGGATTTGGCGTTTGTATTTGCCCCTGGCAGACCACTTGACTCATGCAGCAACAAATATGGTTGAACATATGGCGCCGGTCTGAAGTCCTGAACTTGTGTCTTACGAAATGCTCATCTACCCAACTGACTGGAAACAAAGAATCCGAGAAGCTCTCATGGAGCTCATGTTACCCCCGGCCGGCGAGCTCGTGATGCACCGCCCGCGCCCAAGCGCCCTGGGCCCGGGCAGAGGCGTTGCCCAACCTGGGGCGCGCGACCCGAGAAAAGCTGCGCCGACTACAAACCCAAGCAACACAAGCACGCGTAATTCTACGTGTACATATAGATATACATATGGTTGTTGATTCATTTCAGCTTCACATAGATGTATAGTGAGTGCTATATTGTTCTTAGTGCTTTTGCTTTTTTCCAACAGCTGGAAGCTCTGCCCAAAAAAGCTCCGTAGCGTTCTGGAGCAAGCGAGAGGTCGGGTTCCGGAGAGTTCCGCTTGCTGAGCCGTTGCTGCGGTGAGGACAAGGTTCTGCCGGGGAGTGGGCTGAAAGTCTCTGGGGTGGTGGCTGGCTGGGTTGCAAGTTCAGGAAGGTTTCGAGGGGCTCCATGGGTGGCAGGCTCCAGAAGGATCGGAAGCTTCTGGATTCTTCTACTTACCCTACAGATTCTGACAGGGGTCGGAATTCCAGAAACAGCTTCCTCATTGTTCAAACACTTCAACAACCTGTTCGCCAGGGAAATACGCATGAATGTGATTCTGAACGGTGGCCGCATAGGGTTCCAGAAAGTTCTTGAGGTTGGATAGGGCGAAGGTTTGGGGGTTCCAAGCGGTGGACAGCCTTCCGGGGGCTTCCGGAAGGTTGGGCTGGCTCCATAAGGTTGCTGTTGAACGATCTGGGCTCATTGTCTCAAGCAAAAGAGTAACACCACGTCGCAGCCACAATGTGGCTGTGTCTTTGTTTTGAGGATACCCTTTTTGTCCGGTTGTGAAAGGAAACCAAAAAAGGAAACCACCACTTTGAGATGTCCCCTAAAAATAGACAGACCCATATGGGTGTGTCTTACAATAGACTCTACACCCCCAAGACTTGGGGCTTTTCCTGTTTGTTTGGCCCTTGAAAGCGCAAGCCTCACACCCATCAATCCGGCTCCGGGCTCCCCGGCGGGCTGCGGCTCCGTGGCTCGGGACTCTTGCCATGGATCCGGCCTGACATCCGGCCACTGGCGAGCCCTGGGCATCCGACCTCTGCAGTTCAACGGTTTCTTCTGAGCCAGCTCACCCGAAAGCTACACTTGGTAAGATACTATATATATATATATCTACATATATATATACATATATATATATATATGTATATAATATGTTCATTTATGCTGTGAGCTCATTGTATATGATATGTGAGAAATCTGGAAATCGAAACGTCGGACTGTCTTTAACGGAATGGCTGGAAATAGCCAAGTTTTTATATAAATCGTGATCAACCGGTGCCACTCTGCCTCTCACCGTAGGAACAAGCTGCAATCAGACTGACCGGAAGTTCGAGTTCGCCTTCCGAATCTACCATGCTTTTATCTCTACAGCGTGAAGGTAGATGGCACCAATTTCCTGTCTGCCAGTGGGTAAAGGAGATTGCTACACCAAAAGAGAGAATAGCGCCTACTTTCGCCCTGAGCCTCAGCATGAATCTAAGGCACAAGATGCATTCCCGGGGTTGCGCTTGAAGCATCAGTTTCGGGTACATTGCGCAGCCCGTCACAATCCAACTACTTAAGTCCGTCCAAGGAGAACCAGGCAATCATTGATTTCTTGGATGCTTGAATATCAAATAAATACTGCCACAATACTAGAAGCAATCATTGATTTCTTGAGGGCTGAAGTATCACAGCAATACTGCCTTTATTTTCGCTTCATATCATAATATGAATGTGTTCATTGGATTTGAGGTAAGGATTCAAGCAGAAAACGTGCGCCTTTACACTGACGTACACCACTGGCAATGCTTGGGCCGGACAATGTTGCCGCAAATCCTGGAGCTAGCGACCGTCGGTGGATAAAAGGTCTGGGGAACATGTTGTTTAAACAAGGGAAACCGCAAGGAAAACGGTTTAAGGAAACCAAAACCAAAAAGAAAACCAACAAAAAGCAACAAGAAACTAAAGGGCTACCACTTTGAGGGAACCCGCGGGGCTTCAATCTGGTCGACTTGAGACTACGAGGCTTTCAAGGAACCGCGCTGGTTTTGTGCACTCGTTTCTCACGCGCTTGGGCCAGTACCCCTCATTTGCCACTCCAAACAAATGACCTGCCGAATCTGAATGTATTCCTCAGGTAAGGGCTTGTTACCAGTCCAAGAAGCTGAAAACACGGGTTCCAAGAAAGCACCAGGCTGATTGAGATGGTTTGTCTCTCAAGACTAAGATGCGAGTCTTGTTCTCCTCGAATCTGAATCAAACATACTGTGGCCCCACTCGCCGGCCTCCACGTGGGTCAGGGCTCTTGCCGTGGATTCGGCGGAGGCCTGACACCCAGGCCAATGCAAGTCCTGGGCATCCCTTTGAGTTGTGCAGTTCAATGAGTTGTTCTTAGCCCGTTGACCCGAAACTGAGGCTTGCGATATATTTCTCATAAAATCTCATAAAACCTAAAGTCGAAAAGTCCAAAAGTCTACGGAAATGACAGGAAACCTGTGCCGCTCTGCCTCTGGCCATACAAACAACGAACGCCAAGCTCAGGATTCAGCTGGAAGCTCTAAAGCGGCAATCAGACTGACCGGAAGTTCGAGTTCGCCTTGCAAATCGAGCATGCTCATATCTCTATAGAGTTCAGGTACATGGCACCAATGCCCTTGCCGGTGACTACACCAAAATGGGACATTAGGCGCAATGGAACTCAGTCTGAGCATCTGAGGCACAACATGCATTCCCGGGGTTGCGCTTGAAGCATCAGTTTCGGGTACATTTCTCAGCCCGTTACAATCCAACTGCTTAAGTCTGTCCCAGGCAAACCAAGCAATCATTGTTTTCTTGGGATTGAATATCAAATCAACACTGCCGCAATACAAGCAATCATTGATTTCTCGAGTGCTTAAATATCAAATCGATACTGCCATAATATTTGCTTCATATCGTAATATCAATGTTTAATTGAGGCATAGTCAAAACCTGGTATTCAAATTCTCTACCCAGAATCATGTAAACAGATGGAAAGACGGCCGCACCCATTTATGGCTGGGATTGTCCCTTACGACCCTCCAATTATCCGGGTTCCGACCGTGACTCAATTGGATTTAAGGTAACGATTCAAGCAGAACCCCTGCGCCTCCACACTGACGTACACCGCTGGCAATGCTTGGGGCCGATTTGGTCGAATATCCTGAAGCTTGCGAGTCAAAGTCGCATGGGTCCCCACGATTGTGCACCCGATTCTGACGCGCTTGTGCCATGACGCCTCATCTGCCACTACTTCAAAACATGACTGGCCGAATCTGGACATTCTCCTCAGCTAGGCTCAAATGTGAGACTTCTCCACGAATCTGAATCAAACTGTGGCCCGACTCGCCGGCCTCCACGTGGGTCAGGGCTCTTGCCGTGGATTCGGCGGAGGCCTGACACCCAGGCCAATGCAAGCCCTGGGCATCCCTTTGAGTTGTGCAGTTCAATGAGTTGTTCTTAGCCCGTTGACCCGAAACTGAGGCTTGCAATATATTTCTCATAAAATCTCATAAAACCTAAAATCGAAAAGTCCAAAAGACTACGGAAATGACAGGAAACCTGTGCCGCTCTGCCTCTGGCCATACAAACAACGAACGCCAAGCTCAGGATTCAGCTGGAAGCTCTAAAGCGGCAATCAGACTGATCGGAAGTTCGAGTTACCAATGCCCTTGCCGGTGACTACACCAAAATGGGAGAATTGCGCCTAATGTGCAATGGAACTCAGTCTGAGCATCTGAGGCACAACATGCATTGCCGCCGTTGCGCTTGAAGCATGAGATTCGGGTACATTGCTCAGCCCGTCACAATCAAATTATTTAAGTTTGCCCAAGGCGAACCAAGCAATCATTGATTGCTTGAGTGCTTAGATATCAAATCAAAATCGCTTCATATCATAATACGAATGTTTAATAATTAATTGAGCGGTGCCGAAAACAGGATGCATAAATTCCCCACTAACAAGCCGCTTTCGCGGAAGCGTTCGCGATGCTTTCGCGCGGCGACACGTTTCACTTTCCCGGGCGAGTGCTTTGTAATGATCACTTTCGCGGCGGGTGCCGTTTGCATTTACCTCGACACTTAAAGCACGCGTACAAACACAGAGACCAGAAACTGCAACATGCACTTTCGCGATGCTTTCGCGGCGTGCTCTTCTTCAACCAAATTCGCCACAAGCTTTCGCGGGCTTTCGTGCCCTGCGTTTTAGCTTTCGCGAGGCTTCGTTGGGAGAGGCCCTCAATTAACTCCTTTCATGAGGATGCAAATCGAACACATGGATTCCATCGCTCAATTGGATTTGATTGTGCAATTGGATTTGAGGTAAGGCTTCAAGCAGAACACCTGCGCCTCCACACTGACGTACACCGCTGGCAATGCTTGGGCTGGACGACTTTGTCGCAAATCCTGGAGCTACGGCCATGGGTGCAAGGGCTGGGGAAAATGTGCTACAAGGGACACCGCAAGGACCACGGTTTTTCAGGGCAACCAGCAAAGGGTCTTTTCAATTCCGGGTCTTTCACGAAACCTAGGGGTCTTTCAATCTGCTCGATGGAGAATAGTGGCTTAGACTTGAAGAGGCCCAACTCCGAACTCGCGGAGCTTTCACAGAACTTTCCCGGCAACGTATGGCGCCTGGTCTGCAAACGATCCGCGTTCCGCATGAGTCATGGGCTTGAGACGTCTGAAGCATACTTCAGCATGTCAAGCCCACACAAATGATCCAACTCCTCACAATGCCATCAATGGAGCTATGCTCTTCGTACAATAGCTGAACATGATACTTGTGCTGCATATCAATATTTACCAGTCAAACTCACATTGGTCCCTGCCACTACTCCAAAACATGACTTGCCGAATCTGGACATATTCCCCAGGTAAGGACTTGTTCCTCATCCAAGAAGCTCACACAACGTTTCTTTTAAACCAACTAGGATAACTAGGATGAGATTTGTCTCCCAAGCAAGGTCGATCAAATGACTTCTCATCCAATCTGAATCAAACATACTTTGGCCCCACTCTCCGGCCTCCACGTGGGTCAGGGCTCTTGCCGTGGATCCGGCGGGGCACACCTTTTAAGCAGCTGGTACTCCCTCGAAATCAGCAGGCTAAGCAGGGACTCAACGATCTATCGCTTTGGAGTGTCAAAGTAACAGAAACATGATAGATTAAACAAGTGCCCTAGTCTTCCGCAGAAGGAAACATGGCTGCCATACAAAGCCAAATCGCCTCAGTGCCTTCCCGCTTTAAAGGCCAGTGCCGTGGCACGTCTAAACATCCAGTCAAACATCAGTCAGCTTCGTTCATGCCTGAGCAATTGCCGATCGCAAATCGGCTGAGGCACTTCTAGATTTTAGTCGATTTGGTATGCCTTTGCACAAAATCAAGCACTTTGCAAACTGAAAAAGGTGGCTTGCTTCAATAATTGTCCGCTGGAAGCTTGATTCACATGAGCAGCGCCAAACACCTATTGACTTTAGTGCTACCAACCTGGTTGCAGAGATTTACATAGACCTTGCGCCCATGAAACTAGGCAGTAGAACCGGCAAAAATTGCCCTTTTCAGGTGCGGGGGCGCTGTTCACATGGACACATGCCTCGAGGTGTGATCAGTCCCCCGGACACCTCGCGGAGACGGATTCTGCATCTGGCGTCGCCTCGGGTGCAAGCGTGTTGCGGGTGAAAGAGCTGAAAAGCTAACTTGTTGCACGGGAATGCAGGGTTAAAAGAGTCCCAGCTAGTTGGGAGCTGAAGGAACCCACAAAATGCAAAGAGTTGAAAAGCGAAGCCGAGTCTGGCAATGAGAAAGGTTATTGAACTGCTCAGGCCCACTGAAATGCCTTGTCTTCAGCGCCGCGCAAGTCAAACCTGGTACAGAAATGGTCTACCCAAGCTAGAGCTGTCGTCCTTTTTTCCATTGCAAACGATGTGAACACATATGAGCGAACGGCAAGACTGTACTTCTGCCAAAAGCGCGCGCCGGAAACAGCTGAGCGGCGGCCTTTATTTGTTGCTTCCGCAAATGGAAACAGTTTGCTGGGATCCTCCCTATCTCGTTCATTCATTTTTAGTACTAGGCCGACTTCCTGATCTCGTTTTTCACGCTGTCCTCAATTTCTATACCACCATGTCATACAACGGTTTCCCTATCTCGTTTTTGGGCTCCTCCCTATCTCGTTCCCATAGGCACGTGCGTTTTGTCCAGAAAACTGTTTCCAGTCCCTTACTAGTCTGGATGTGCGCAAATAAAAGCGGGCGCTCAGCTGTTGTTTTTAGGGCTTTGCTGTATCGTTTTGCTGTGTTTCCAATCAACTGGCTGTGCATCAAGCTTCTTTTGGGTGGTCCCGTTATATTACACCAGTAGCTCGTTCAAAATGTCGTTGCAGTGAAATGGCCTGAGTGGGCATTGCTCATTGCGGATCCAGACATGGGCGAGGTCCCAACGGAGGCGGCACTTGGGCTAAGGAACTGGTTGTCACTACGCTATTGTTCTGGTGGTCGTTCTGGCTGGTTGTCGTTCCGGGCGTTGGATTTGGTGGCTTATCGGTGGCAACTCTGGTGGATTTGGTGGCCGGTTCACAGAGCAGAAACCCTTCGATCTCATAGTGCTCCAGGATGATGTTGAAACCCAAACGGACTGGGTTTCCTCAGTGTTGACCACCTCCTTTGGGTTCATCTTTTTTGAGGGTACCCCGTTCCCCGTGGAAAAACCAAAGAAGAACCCATCGGAAAGCAACGACGAGCCAAGGCACTGCTCTTGCAGCCGACGCCGTACCTCCTCCTTTGGCAAAGGCAGCAAGGGCGGCAAAGCTGAACCTGGCGGCACTTCAAGTCGGTTTGAGAAACTCTGGTCGTTGATGTTCTGTGTTGTCTATGTCTTTGCTAGCATCGATCGAATTTATGGTTGATTGATCATGTGGATTTTGTGCCTACTGATGTAGAACAGTAAATGTTAGAATGCCAATTTGAATGCTGTTGATACAAATGCAAAATAACTTCAAATTATGGTGTTTAATGTACTGTAATATGTTGTTGTTGTTGCTTTTTGTTTAATGGATGATAAGCAACAACAATAAGATATATATATATATATATATATGATTTGCTCCTGATGCTTTTGTTTCTGCGCTTTCCATCAATCTTCCAGCATCCACCCAGCCTTTGCTTTGATCGCGGCGCTGCCAAATCCAGCGCCTGGCTGCAGGCCGGCGCCATTTCCAGTGATGGAACCAACGATGCGAACGAGCAAAACTCAACGCAGACGCACACATGCGAACAGCCAATCGCAGACTTACAAGGTCCAGACAAGGGTGTGACTGGATTAGGCTACTGAAACTCCCACGCATCAACAAGATGGGTAATGTTGTCTGTAGCAATCTTCACTTGGGATCTTTGATGTTGAAAGCAAATACATCAAATGCATATTCAACGAAGTTGCCTCAGATCCAAGAGGAGATGCCTGCTCCTGATTACTATCTGTGATGCTGGGCCAGCAGTTCTATTTCACCCCAGACAAAGCGCAGCTCCTTGGTGCTACTAGTACCTTCAACTCAAGAATGCAGCACCACTGAAAAGCTCCATCTGCGCAAGGCAAACCGCTGTGCACCAACATGCCTATTCCATCTTGCTCTCAGAAAGCAGACGCTAGACTTCCCCCACAACATGCTTGTAGATCAGGAGGATCAAGAATGGTAGCTTTCCTTTGGACTGTCCTTTGAACCATTCCTCAAAAAAAACAGAAACAAGAAGAGAGAAACTCGGGGGAAAAAAGAAAAGAAAAAGAAGAAAAAAAACAGCTTTCCTTTGGATGCCCTTACAAAACAAGAGAAAAACCAGAAACACGGGGCACAGCTCCGCACGCGCTCGCGCACATTCTCTGGATCCGCGCCAGGTGTCCGTCACCCGGCCGTGGTCCAGGCCCAACACCTTGGAGAGACCGCGGCCCGCGAACCGAATCCGCGGTCGCTCCGCGTGGTTTTGGTTGTTGATTGCAAAGCCCGTTTTGGGGTTGTGGCAGTATTTTGTAGCGGGAACCAAAATAACCCCCCCCCCCCCATTTTTGGTTTTTGTTGGGTTGTAGTAGCTTTTTTGGGGGAAGCCGAAAGGAAACCATCCATGTTGGGGTTCCCCTAGTTTAAGACAAACCCAAATGGGTAATGTATTTGCCAGGGGTGGACGGCATGTACATGGTTGGATTTATGCACCCACCATGTGGAAGGGTTACATCCAGTTTTTTCAAGTCACAACCAAAGAACAAGTTGCTGGTAGGGAGGAAAGACGGGTTGGGATTTATTTAATGAGGGAATTCGGGGGATTGGCTTTACCAGTTCCCCCAGTAGTGCCCTTTATCACCCCTGTTTTGGGGGAGGTTCCCTACTAAAATAGACTAGAGAAAAAAGGGTACCCTTATTCTAACCTCTCTACTGGAGGACCTAGGCCTTTCAAAAGCTTGGGCCTGCCGAAGGCAGCAGGATGTCGGTTTCGGGCCAACCAGTCCACTCAACCAGTGCAAAGACCACAGCCATGCGCGCACGATCTTCGCACAGCCGCATACTTGAGTCCTTTTGGCTGCTTCCTTCACGCCCCGCCCTTTCTGAGGCCTAAGTACGAACAAACAAATGTGGAAAAATTGTCGCTTTTGGGAAAGTGAGTAATTATACCCTACCTTGTTCCCCTTCTCAGTGGGGCTAACAATATGTCAGCCGTGCGACTTGTGACAACCTACGCATCGCACGTCTCTGGTCTGGTTGCTAAGGCCAGCTCCCCATGACACCAAGTGCCACACTGGGCGAGAGGAAGCCATCCGGCCTGCTCCAACCAAACGAGTTCTGAGTTACAGGCAGAGCCCTGACCCCGGTGCGCGAATGGGTGAGAGCAGCTCGGGCTAAGTTGCTGGGACGCAAACACACACGCGAACAAAAGAGCAAAGAAAAAAAGAAAGAAAGAAAGAAAGAAAGAAAGAAAGAAAGAAATAAAGAAATAAAGAAAGAAACAAAAAACCAACCGGCCAACCAACCAACCAACCAACCAACCAACCAACCAACCAACCAACCAAACAAACAAACAAACAAACAAACACAAATACAAACCACACACGCGCACGCACATACACAAACCGTTGGGAGTAGGTCCTGCCTGCAATCCATCAGGCATGGCTCCGACACGCTGGGAGCCACATGCCGCAGGAGGGCAACACGTGACAACGAAGCTGACCTGACAGGAACACGTGGGCGTCGTTTTGTCGGGATACCCCCAGTTTTGGTTTCGCTCTAAAGCGAACCCAAAAGAAAAACCACCCATCTTTGGGATCCCCCCAAAAAAACACGCCCACATGGTGCTATGCTCCAAGCCATTCCAGGCCTGCGTGGCAGGTTTCTGTCAAAAGCGGATTTGCACATTGGTGGAGGAGTGGCCGACCCGGAAGAATGTTGCTCAAGGCTAGCCCCGTTTGACTAGTCCAACACGCTGATAACATGTGAAACATTGTTCCATACTGGTCAGGCTTTGGCTGTCAGTTTGTCGGCGGGAGGTTCAACGCTACGAAAAACTTCAGACAGCCCTTGGCTGGGTTGTTCAACATGGGGTCCCGTTCTTTTTCCTAATGGGCACCACTACAACAAGGGAACCGCATCAACCCAGAAATTGGCATCCAACTCCGCCGAATCGCCCGCCACTTTTCTCGCGGGAATGTGGGGCTTGGGGCTCGGGGGAGGTGTTTCAACGAAAGGAGCCGTGCGCCCTTGGGGCGGAGCTCGGATGGCAGAGCCTGCGCTTCCATTGCGCCAATCAGCCGAATTGGACGGAGCTTTGGCTACCGAAGGCAGACATAGGCGGCCGGCACTTTCATTGACATCAAGTTTAAGCGTCCCCCAGGTGACACGAAGCATCTTCTCGCATAGCTTCCAAATCGACCGCTATTCCTTCGATTTCTGTTTCTTTGAGCAGTTGGCCACGAGATGCCATATTTCTCAAGCGATAGGATGTATTCAAATTGCACGACGCCTGCCAAAATATTCTGACAAGGACATGGCAAACTAAAGCGAAATGCTGAAGGTTCATGGAAAGCAGCGAGAAACTCCACAAGAAGTTAGCCAACTACCCACGAAAACCAGGGTTGGGGTCAACTTCCGGTTTATTTCTTGGAAGCGGGGTTGAGAGACACAACCTGGCGAGGTGTCGCACGTAAAGTCCAAGAAGTGTCGCAGCAAAAGCATCTTCATCAGCCACTTCGGCACTGGCACTAGCAATGTCTGGCCTCAATGGTACCAAAGTGACGCGTCTCCAGTGTCCTCCCAGTTTGCAACTTGTGAAGTAAACTGACCATACACTCACCAAAACGCAGCTGCCATGGGGTGAGTTGGGTGTCCGAACGCAGGCTCAATGGACGTTGGAGCGGCAAGCATTCTGCGCATGCCACGATGCGTGGATGCCATAATTGTGAAACGAAGCGATTCCACCGGGAGGTAGCTTTCTATTCCGACTGCCTCAACAAAAGAATTGATGTCAACTCTAACTAGTCACATTCAATGAACCCAGCAAATGAACAGAACGGGACTGCAAGGCTCTTGTCAGCAAATGACCAAACAGCCCTGGGCATTGTGTATTAAAGCACTGCCAACTGCGTGTATGGTCGTGTGCATGCTTGTGCTTCAGCGAAATGCAACCTCCTGCGCGGCATTTACCAGGCACCAAGTTCTTGCACAATTCACGAGAAAAGCGGCTCAGTCATACTGGCAGAGGCACGCGCGTGTGGGGTCAACGTGAACATTTGAGCCAATGGGGCCACTTCGGCAAGCCGCAAGTGCACCTCGCTTAAGTAAAGTCTTGGTGCATGATGCCAGTATTAAGCTCATCATAGACTCTTGCCAAATGCCTGCTTTGTGATGGTTCGATTGAAAACCAGGCTTTGCCTGCAGTCTCTCTGAAAAGCCAAGTACAACTGCGCCGCTGGTAACTGAACATAATGTCCATGGCAGCTTGCCACAAGTCAATGTTCTGCCTGGGGAACGGCCTGTAGTTTGCGCATGTCCGCACAAGATGGTCATGGTTCCATTGTTGGGAACCCATACAATTAAAGGGCTGATGAGGATACCTACCAAGTAACGGAGCGGTCCTTCTACCTTGGCACATATGAATGGCTCATTCAGCGTCAAACATATTCTTCACTGCCTTGCAGCACCGTAGCTGAGCAAACAAACGCCGCACATGTTGAAGTACACGAGTGGTGAAGCCGCCCAACTCGGCGGGATGCGACCCAGGCTGTTTGATAGGAGAAGCATAGAAGGAATTTCTACATACCAATTGTCAAGGTGAGAAACGAGCAGACTGATGACATGGTTGAGTCCAAGCTAGTCCTGGGTAGAACCCCTAACACAATGCTTTCACAGAAGCAACATGCGGGTTCAAGGCCATCAAGGGAGGCCGAACAGACCGTGGGGCATACCCTAGGTCACCACTTTTGAGTTTCGGCAAACCATGGATAATTATACCCCCCCCCCCCCCAAAGGGACTCGTGCAAAAAATGGGTATGTGTCAAAGGGACTCGCCCCCCCCCCCCCAGTTTGCGGTGGATGTCCTACCTTTGGCCTCCAAAACGAGCCCCACAGCGCCCAGTCGGGCCGCGCCTCTCCATGAGGCTCTTCCGCGGCGGCTGGCGATCCGAGGGCGATCCGTTGGTGGCGCGTCATGCTCGAGGGTAGCTTTGGTGTGTGGTCGTAGCGGGAAGCCAAACGGGAAAATCACCATTTGGGGGTCCCCCAAAGAAAGATACCCCAATAAAATGAAGGAAGTCTGGTGCAAGAAAACTTGGACTCAGCGCACTTTAGGATTGCAAACGTTTCATATTTTGCCACAAAGCCCAGGCGGTGCTCCTTCTTTCTCTTTTGAGAATCACCCCAAAACACTGTGGACTCAACAATGACAAGCACCCCGGTGATTCGATTCAATGAAGTTGGTGAGTCCTCCAGTCAAGGCAATCATGCGATATCTGAGATTGACAAACCATAAGTCAGCAACTCTGGAAATCACGGGGAGCCGCACGCTTGAATTGTCCTGACGTTGGACGAGTAGCAAAGTATATATCGATTTTGTGTATAAATAAATGCCTACGTATTGAAGGTAAGCCACAGGACGGAAGTACAGCGCTGTTTGACATGTGTTTGAGCGAATGACTTGCAAGTTCACAGAAATAATGCTTGCTTTGTATTACAACGAGAAAAGCACACTCGGTCACAATCCTTCGGGCCTGTCAAGCTCCCAGAAGGTTGCGACTACTCCATTGAAATCACAAGCTCTACTTTACAAACATCTTGTGATCCACACTACGCAAAAGTATGTGTTCGCGTCTTGATTGATGTGTTCGCGTCTCTGCACTCATTCCGGCCTTCTTGTCCTGAGCGAGCTGCCCTTCAGTCTTCAGGATCTCTATCGCATGCATCATCCTGCGCGTTTGGCGCGGGCGCTTGGCATTTGGCCCGTCCCGTCGCTCGGATTTGGCATTTGGGTACCCCTAAGGTTGGCTCAGCTGGCAGGCCAGTGCTTCTCCTGTGAACCAAACTTCGAATGGGTAGCCTCAGAAAGAACACCAGTTTGGGGGGCTTCGAATCCCTATTTTGAGGACATACCGACCCGATTCAGCGCTCCTTGCAAAGCAGCGGAAGTCCATGTGCCCGTCTCGGGCGAAGGCGGCAAAGAGGGGCAAGAGCTCCTCTGAGGTGTACCTCGAGGGTTTGTTGCACCCGCAAAGTGGCCGGAAGGCCACTGGGTGCCCTTTGAAGCTGTCTGAGGGTGAGTTCGCAGCCAGGTCCTTGCCAGTCATGGAGCAAAACGCCTCACAGCGGATGAATTAGTTGAGTCCTATCATCAAAGAATCCCGAGAGACAGAGGCAAGAGCTTGCACCTGCTGTTGATACGCACATCCAAGACCAATGGCAAATGACTCGATTCAATTTCCGACCACGTGGTAGCGTCGGCGTGTCCGTGCAGTGCTTCATGAAAAGAATTAGAAGTAACTAGCTGAGCACTTATGTGGAGGTGCGAACTGCTGCTGGCAGGCTGTGGAACGAATCAAACATGTCATGCAAGGCATTGCAAAAAATTATAACCTCTCATATAAACGAACCGAGGCCGCACTGTGATTCTTGGAAAAGATGCAAAATGCACCAAACGACAACGCCTTCCCTTCGGCGTCCGTTTGATAAGATAAAAGATGGATGCCACTGACAGAAGACCATTCACAGGCTTCTGCACGCCTTTGCGACAGATCGTGCAGCAAGATGGGGGGGATGGAAGGGCAAATGGTGGCAAATGAAGTCAGCAGTGCACGGCTCTCAGACACTGGCGCAGAAACTTCTAGTGATCTGATTCTTTCCCGCAGCCGCTCACAACTGCCTATGTGGCTCTTCACCAAAAAAAAGAAAGCCGCCAAGGTTGAGTGCTCAAGTTGAACCAGGGGAAGCGCAGCGACTTGCCCTTGCCCTTTGCTTCCCTGCCAGGTCCAGCTGGTTGCAAGACAGCACGTCCGGATCGCTGAATCAGAGGCGGCGCCATCGGAGTGCAGCCAAAACCGGCAAATCTATGGGTTTTTTTTCTGAACATGAGGGCCACTTCGGGAGGTTGGTCGCTGACAACGCATTTTGAAAACTCCATCAGGGTATCAAAATATGGGGACAACAAATATTGTGGGGCCCTTTTGCTGTTCCACTGAAACCATCCAAAGCCAGGGGGCGGGGGGGGGGGGGATTCTGAGAACCCCCCCCCCCCGCTCGCCCCGCCCGACGGCCAACCCCACAGGTCCCCGCACCAGCGCTGCAGGATGGTCATGGCGCGACGGAGATCCGTCACCTCCAGGACCTCGCCACCGGGACCCGCCGGGAGTGAGGGGATCCCCAAATTGTTGGGGGGGGCGGGGGGAAGGGCTAGGGGTGGGGGAGGGCTACTGAGCAGCAGCAGGTTTGAAAGGGGTTCCCCCCATTTCATGAACTTTATAGGACCCTGTGCACGGGATTCGGTCAAAATTCCATACCAACTTGATCAACCCGTTTTGAGGTTCCAGCTCGTCAAGTTTAGCGTCATTTTGGCCACAAAACGAAAAAGGATCTAGAGAGTGCCACTGACATACGCCGGTCAACTGCTGCAATGTAGTTGGACCGAGGCAAAACCGAACATGAATGTCAAAAGGGTTCCCGAAAAAGCCCCTTTCAAACATCACTCCACAACTCAATGAACATTCGGTCCACAAGGTGATGCTTAAAGTCGCTTCGTTCATAAGCTGATTCAGTGTCTCAACTGCGAGTGCGCAGGATCTGTGTCAGAGGCTCGTGACCCTATGAATCACAATGATCTCGTTGTGATTTCCGTGCGCAACTTCTCCTTTGGGAGATCCATCGACGGTATCTGTCATCTATTGTTCTTCTTAAAAGTCTTGGCGGGGGCATCATATACAGGAAAGTGGGGCACAAGAGCTTACTTTAGGCTTTCCTTCTGGCTTCCCTTTAAACCAACCAACGGTACCAGCCAAAACAGCACCCCGGCTTTTTGCTGAGAGCAAAGACCCCGTGACGAGTCAAGCACAAGCCAGGCAAACATTCGACTCGTTCTTGCTGTCCAAAAAGACCTGACGCGGTGCACACGCGACCTCAAGGCAGCCTTCTATGGTTCGTCTCCTTTTGGCTTTCCTTCGAATGCCAAAAGAAGCTGTCCATCATGCTCATGTCCTTCGTCCGTTCGATCCAACTCCCTCCGAACAAAAAGCACGTGGCAGCGCCACGCGCCTTGCGTAGCTCATGGCAGCGCTCCAGCGTGAAGTTCAGGTTAAGGGCAAAGCGCTCCTGGCACGGGAACGCGGGTTGAGTGGTGTTACCGTCTGGTTCTGCGGGTTCAGTAGGAAACACAAGAGTCCCCAGCGAAGAATTTGGAGGCACCCTATATGTTTCTGCGTTCAGGGTGGGGCCAAAAACCTGCGATGTCAATATCACACTTGAACCACGACTTGCACAAGCGTCTCCACGAGGGAGCTCCCTTTCAAGTGAGCACATATCCGTGTCAAGCACTATCCCTGCCACATTCGCATCTTGCAGAACCAGCAAGAAAGAGCACATTGCGAGGTGCGACCCTTGCCACGCTTGCATCTTGCCAACAGAACAGGAAAACACTAACCACCCATCTCTTTGCCATTCAATTGGTAGAAGAATGCACATCTCTTCACCAGGTGCCACCTCTGCCAACACAAGCAAAAGCAATTAGATTCGTCAGCTGGTCACCATCACAGAGCAACCACCGTCGCCTCAGGCGTCTGAAGAACAAAACAGCAAAGTCCTGTCTTCCAAGCGCCGGCGAATCACTCAAGCACAATGTAAGCCGGCGGGCGCAGCAGATGCGGTAAAATCACCCGTGGCACGTTCTCCCAGACTGTCAGGCGCTCGGGCTCCGTCACCCTCAAGGTTTCCAAAATATGATCCGCACCTCCCTTTAGACCTCTTCAAAGGCAATTCGAGAGCAGCTGTTGGAACAAACGTTGGGCGATGAATGAGCCGACAAACACAAACTCAAGCAGAATCATCAGGCGCATGCTGGACAGTCAGAAGCCGATGATTGATGTGTTCCAACGACTTCATGCAAGCCTGTCCCTCGAATGTATTGATATTATTGATGGTGCAAACGGCGCGGATATTGCGGATGGTGCAGAGATGGATTCTGCGGATGGTGCAATCGCAGGTATGGATGCCAGAGATGGTGCAGATGTGGTGGATGGGGCGGATGCAGGTGCGAATGGCGCAGATGGTGAGGATGGGGCGGATGCAGGTCCGGACGGTGCTGATTGGAGGGATGCTGCGGATGGTGCATGCAGATGTTGCGCAAACGTTGAGGGCGTGCCAATGGACATGTATATCACATTATAGTAGCTTGCTCTGCGAGGATCCATCAAGCAAAGTTCACAGAGCGAGGGACAACTTAACAAGTCATATGCTTGTTTGTGTAAGGAACATGCCAGACCTCCTCCCCAAGTTGCGGGAGACAACAATGCCTGCAATCTGCAGTGAAGCAAATCGGAATTTCCCACTTACTCTGTCCTCAAGTGAGCTTGAATTGTGATATGGGTTAAAAATGGTGTGCGATCCACGAGATCGGTTTATGCTTCCCTGAAGCATCACCAAACCAAGAAGACAATCGGCCACAAGTGATCCAAACAAGTGATGCTTCAACTGGCTTTTCGAGGGCTCGAGCATCGAAGCTCCTGTTGAGTGGTGCCCCAGTTCAAATTACGCAGACTTGCCCAAGAGGCCCAGGGAAATGTGGTGAGTCCCCTTCTCTTTGCGGGAAATCTGGTACATTCCCCATGTGCCGCCCCCCCCGCCCCCCGAAAAGGAACCATAGACGGTGAATTGAACAACTTGTCCAACCGAACCCCTGGCCTCATCGGCACGTGCCAGCCGCTCCAGCCTCTCCTGACAAAGTTGCACCTGCGCCGAAGGCTTCAAACACGGGGCGGCTCGGATATGAACAGCCGGCCTTGGAAAATGGGGCTTCCCCGTTTTCCCCTTGCAAGAAAAAAAAAAAGTGTTTCGCAAAACGCCTGAGGAGTGCAAATTGTGACCTGGCGGGCACAGTGGCGGGAGAAGAGTAGCAACACAGCATAAGCAGCTCGAACCCCAGGCATCTCGAATGTCTCAAATGGCACTAGGCAACAGACCACGAAATGAGATCTTCAGCCTGCATCACACCGAGATGTTTAGGCCCTTCTATCCATGCAACAATGAGGTGTAGGTAGTCAGCAACTCAATCACCTGCACCTTGGACCAGGTCGTTTTCCCTCAAAATTTGCGGACCCTCCAAAATGACGGGTGTGCTATCTCTTGGTTTCCCTTTGAAGCCAAAGGTACCCTCGAACGAGGCGATCCCCGCTGCGGCCACTTCAGTGAAGTCCATCCAGCTGAAGCTCCCAGTACCATCTTCATCCACCTCCGGGGACCCCGGCCGGGGACCGGGGAGGCGCCATGCAGTTGATATCGGCTGATCAATAAGACTGTTCAGG